TCTAACAATAGGCTTTCTGAGTATAGAAATTAGCTCTTACACTCACAATCATGCATTTAAATATGAAATGAAAGTCTTTACAACTAAATTTTATTCATTCATATTATTATCCACTCTATAAGTAGGTTTCGCAATTTAAGTCATCTTGGTTGATTTGTGTTGATAGTACAGTTTCCCGAAATTGAATAGGCTGCCACTCTCTTGCCCTAGCCTTCCAAAATGCTTTCGCGTGCAGGATCTTCTCATACATACGAGAGCATGTCGGCAAGGCTACGGATGTTGCCCCAACCAGTCTCTTGGGCCGTGCATGAGGCCGCCTCGTTGCTAGGCCGACTTGGCTCTTGCACCCTATCGTGAGCGCCCCGGGCTAGCCTATGTCATTTTGCGGTCATTTTACAATAAATATTTAAATTATTACATTAATGAAAGTCATACAAATTAAAAAAAAGAGATTCACGGCCTACTCCATTGTGGAAGGGTGGAATACGGAAATATAGACTTCCATTGATTTGTGGCGAATTCAGGTCACTTGACTGATTATTTATTCATCAGGAAGTAGATCCAAAAAATTATCTGCACAACCGGCCTAAATGTAATACATTAGAATTGTTGCCTAAGCGAAAAAAAATAATGACATGTTCTAGCAGACAACATGAAGTTGATTGAAGAATCTTCAGGTATACACACCAACACACACCAGCACAAATAGATACTCGACTCAGCATGAGTACAACTGTACACTTACAAACTGATAAGTGGAGATACATATACACATGCATACACACATACAAACATACAGCTAGGTCACATTTCATGAAGATAAACAGACATTGGGATTTACGTGCATGTATATAGTCGGCCACAGGCACTCATGCGTTTAGACAAATAAAGAGGTATAGGGACAGACAGACAAACAGGAAGACAGAAAAGTTAACAACTCTGATAGCCGGCAGGCAGTCAAGCCGGAAGAGGGATGGAGAGAAAAGGGATCAGGCCAAATTGTAAGCATGCAAAACGGCATATGGGCCGATAGGTGGGCAGACAGCCATACAGGTGGCCTCATTTATTTCCATTATCCTTGGGCTGATTTCCTACTCAACTATTATTCGTTTTAATGCCATAAAACTAACGGTTTAGGTATGCACCGCGAAAGACCCCCAAGAGACATCTATCATGGACTTTCATTCAACGAAATCTTATTTATGTTTGTTGGCCGAGTGACCACTTCTCGAATCGAGGCGAAATTGCAAAATTGATTTCGTCCAGCCGCTCGGACATACCTCACCGTATCAAAGCTGACGTCGAGAATGCTGCTTTCGTCTGCTCAGGCGGGCCGGTCCAAGGGCCGGAGACTTTCGCAGACGAGCACATCAACCCTTTTCACTGCGGACCGAGGAAAGCGGATCATTTAATGGTGAACCCATTGTTCAGTGCTGCAAGGCAGACGACAATTGAAGCGATCTTGTGGAGAGGACAATTTTCCCCAATAGCTACCGACATTGAATGGAAAGACGGACGGATATACACGTATCAGACTCTATGAGAGATTGAAAGTAGAAGAGTAGCGAGAAGAGCGGACAGCTGACGGGCTGGCAACAGAACTACACAAGCCCTCTCAATTTGTATCCACTTTGCGTAGAAAAGTAATTCAACAGAAGCAGAAGCAAAGTGTAGAGCCTACCTAAACACGAAAAAAAGTGTAAAGCGTTTGTAGAGGAATGGAGGCTCGGTTTCGAGGCCTTGGAAGACCTCGGTCCTGAGATATGTCCATCATCTGCATCAAAAGATTGGATGTGATGATAGAAGTAAGGAGAGTCCGTGCAGAAGAGGGGAACATGAAGGCATACAAAGTCAGTGCGCTAGAAGAGTCACTGGGACCAAGGCGTAGTTTGGTTTCCTGGCGAACATGGTAGAAGCAATGGCCTAGTGATTGCGAGGACTGGTTGTGTTTCGAGAAGCCTCCTAAGACAACATTGTTATGGGGACGTTCATTTTGTATCAAAGTGCATGATGAACAGATTTGTTGATCGATCTCATCGGAAGACGATGACAGTTTGGCTTTAATACGACATTCAGGTTGACGTAGTCCACGAGACATCATCCCTCGTTCCGGGTGGAGCCGAGCTAAGCTTTCATCCATTATGACATGCATCATCAAAGCTGGAACTCATTCTTGCAAAGTGTCAAGTTGGCAAGTCTCGTTCAAAAAACCTATTAAACTCATCAAGTACGAGAATACGTAGTCCCAATCATGCTTCAACTTGAGCTATTAATTCTTGATGACCACCCTTTGGCAGGTACTTTGATTTAGGTCCGCCGTTTAGGTACATACGTCAGCACACACACACAGACAGACCCAAATAAAAGTACCATGACTAACCAAATCAGTCTATATCCATCTATATATATTCATATATTCATTTTTGTTATGAGTATGTATTAAATGTAAGATAGAACAGGATAGTTTAAGTTAAAACTTTGATAAGAATGAGTTCCAGCCCTGATTATGTCGATCATATGATGCACGAAGGCTT